CTAAAATCAATCCACATGGATTGATTTTAGCTTTTCGCAGCATTTGTTTGTATTTTTGGATTGTCTAGGTGGCGGTAGCTGCCCCTTGGCGACGCCTTTAGTTCGTAGATGACCTCTGGTGCCTTCCATTTAGATACTAACAAAATATTAATAAGATATAATTAGATAAGAAAACTCTGCCTCAATGGTTTAAATAACTATTGTATTGAACAGATATAACTTAGGCGCCTTCCAATAGTGTACTCGTCTCTTCAAGGCGCGACGTTTCCTCTAGCGTTGAAAAATCCATGGGCGTCAGATCAAACACCATTACGCGACCCGCTGCTCGTTTTGCTATATAAAAAATAGCGTTTAATGATACTTGCTATTTTTTTTTCGTAAAATAACATTTAAAAGTGGATTCTCATTGATGTTTTAAGGCGTAGACTTACATAAGATTTTCGCTTTAGACGTAGAATACGCCATCTAACACCGATCTAAATAAATTCAATTAACTTAAAAACCTACTACTAACCCCCCACCCCTTCGTCTTCGGTGGGAGCTATTAGAGGTTTTCAGTCCGTTTTTCACCAAAAATATTCTTTTGATGAAAAAAACATAACTTTTGTAGCGAAATGCAGCACCATCTTTTGGCTTCGTTTTAAAACACTCGTATTCTTAGCAATGAAAAAACATTAGGGCGAGTGAGATTTGAACTCATTATTTTTCTTGATTTATTTAATTTCTCACCTTCACTATAAATTGCGGACTCGTCGGGGCTCCATCTTCGCCTTTTTATTAGTTTTTTATAATGACTCACGAAAGCTTTTTAAGTTTAGTTTTGTGCCGATGCAATATATGGCACTTTAGGGAAGAATTGAATGAAGCCTCATTCATCAAAATTAGTTCAGGTGTTTACGTTCTAGGCACTTACAATGGAACATTCGGATATCAATCAGAATAGTCGAATAGAGGGAATCGAATCCACTATCGCTTGATCGAATGTGCGTAATCTTAACTATTAACTTGTTCATGGTTAAATCTCGGTCGTGTGACCTAACGCTGGGAATTTGCGCGATCGACCATCTTAAATTTACACGAGTGTTCACAACTAACTAGCGGCGAAAATCGCTATATTCTCGCGGCGTTATGTAGGTTTAACCGTTTTGAACCGGTTAGAAATGAACAAGCACTTACGCTACTAGCATCATAGATTCTATGTTTAAAAAACTCTTACATCGGAATAACTTCGGACCTTTTTTGATTTTATCGCGCTAATATACACTGCGGAAATATAAACTCCATATACAAAGATACAGAATCAAACCATTGATATAGGTCTGTGGCGGTCATTTTATCATAGCAGCTATCATAGTAAATGCCTATACTAACAAATCTCTCAACCTATCAAGGTCACCAAACTATAATTTCTACTGAGAATTACCCCACTTATGAGATAGTGGCATGAGATATTCGTACGAATGTCTTAAGATTTATTTTCATGATTCATGGGCTTATGATAAGCAGACCATTTTATAACAATAACTAGTGTAACCAAGTCATATTATGTATGTGACAAATAATTATACTACTTTGATTTCATATAAAGTACATAAGATATATGATTTACCTATTATATGAAAGGTAATATTGTTCGTCTTAAAGACAAACCTACATACATAAATGGTAATACATTTTTTTTGTAAACTTTACATTAATATAGACGTTAGTTAAAAATACATATTGTTTTATATAAATTTATCAAAAATATTATAAAGTGTATATTTGGTAAAATAGCTTTATATGTATTGTATATTTTCACTTAATATCACAGATATTTGCACAACCAAAAAGTTGTAAGTCTTGATGGCAGTATTTACCCTTAATATTTGTGTAATGACAAAATCATAAAGGTAAAGTTAGTTACATTTTCACATTGAAACATCCGATATATATTTATACCACTAAAGTTATTACAACTTGTATGTTACAAATATAGTATCAATGTTTCAATGTAAAATAAACTTTGTTTTATTCTTGCTGAGACACACACTTCTATTCCTCATCAGAATTCAATGGAGGAAATTTGTCCTCATACATTTCCTGACTCCACTCACTGTTTAGACTAGTCCAATATGAAAAGAACCCTAAACTTCTCAATAAGAACCGTCCAATGTATAAAAATGAAAGTTCCAACCATTTAAAAGTTCACCACAACACTAAAATTTACAATAAAGTTCAAAGTTCAAACACAATCTTTATTAGTATCATATGAAATAATTAATACATCGGTGGAATTCCCGTCTTTATCGTCGATCCCTGTAAGATCTTTGGGATTCGCGATCCCGGCTGCGAGCACGTGAACGATCAGAAGTGCGCCACAAAAACTCATCCACGGAACGTTCATAAGATCTTTTATCATACACAAGCACTGAACGAGGATAATCACCCAAGTCATAATAACGTGGTGGCGGCGGTGGCGGGGGCAGTCCTTCGTAACTTGCTAAAGCTCCGCTGAATCCTGGAGGCGGTACATAGGGCAATGGTGGAAGCTGGTGATGCATTGATCTCATGTATTCAGCAACATAAGCTTCTGCTGCAGCCGAACTGCTGCTACTGTAAGCATCACGTCCCCTAGAGAACCACGCTGGCAAACGATCACGCATATATGGTGATGGAGATCTCCTCTTATATGAATTAGAAGACAGGCGATTTCTAGGTGGAACAAAATTTTTTCTCCTGCTTCGAGATGATGTATTTATACGATTACGAAAATTATTTCTCGGGAGCAAAGGTGTTCTGTAAGTTCTGTAACTGCCACCACTTTTTAGATAAGCCTTTTTAGAAGCTTCTTTAGATTTCCGCAGTATTGGTGTCATCTCGATTCCATCATCTTCAGGAAACAGTCTACATAATTCTTCAGCAACTTTTGGCTCAATCTCCTGTCCATCTCGTCCAATTTTAACAGGCTTACCTTCATTCCATGGGTTGTATAAGTGAAGAGTGCTACTAAATGATAACTCTTTCCTACATATCCAATCTACTTTAAAGACACCATCCAGTACCTTTGCTGAAAGCCCAGGTGGTAATACCCATGAAATTGGAGGCCCATCGCGGCGGGATTCACTTCCTAATCTAGCAAATCCAGCAAATTTTCCACTCTCTTTAACTGAAAATATCAGTAGTACATTTCTCGACTCTCTGTAAGCCTGATTCAGATTTGCTTCGTTTTGGGGTAATGTAGACCAAACTCCTTTCGCTTTAGACAATGTTATATTTTCAGCATTGTTAGATTTGATTAGAAAAAATCTTGTATCTCGAAACAAATAATTCAGTTTTGTCACGTAATCGTAAATTTTTACCTTGTTAGTTGTTGTAACACATCGTCGTTTAGTTTGTACTGGGGAATGACTATCAGACTTAGCTCTTTTACGATTATTTCGTCTGTCTTTAGAATTAGTGCTCACAGAGCTAATACTTGGCGAGCTTGTATCACTAGAAGAGGAACTAGATACTTCACTACGAGTATCATAATCTTTCACTTCTTCTAACTGTTTTAGTTCTTCTCCAATTTCTGCTTCTACTTCACCTACGCCCAGATTGACGGCGTCGGTATTGCTGGAAACCTCCATTTTTTACTGTGTTAGATACACAATAACACAGTTTGACCATAAATCATATAATTTACCCATTTACCAATGGATTATGTTATTTATTATTCGTCTAAATTGATCTGTGAAAACGACAAATATACTTTTTCTTATAACAAAAATGCAATTACAAAATTACAAATTAAAATGTAAAGTTTTAGAGATTATGAGCAAAAAGCATATAGAGCAATTGACCACAGACTTACAGCACAGCACAGACACTTCTTTTTACAACCAGAGACCCACCTCAGACTATATAATATCAGCAATTTTATTTAAAAAAAAAAACTAATGAAATCGCAGATTTCTACAAACGATTAGTAAATTGCTTTTTGATTTTGACGATCCTGTCAATTAATTTTATCTATTTTACATTACAAATTTACTTTTGAAGTATAATCCAAATGATAATAATCAAGTTTGCTTTCGTTAAAAGTTATGCGTAAGACACAATCTCCCACTGTTAATAAAAGAATTACAATAAATGTACTATTACTACGAATCTTCATCACCGCTTTAAGTGCAACTGTCGACGCCAAAAAGGGTAAAATCGAATAGGCACAAAATACTTCGGCTTATGACCTGTTCAGTTATTAAATTGGCATAAATAGACATCTTATTTAAATACGACGTTAATTTTATGGTTTATTTAATTCACTACAAATTGACATAAAAGCCTGTTTTAATTAGCTATTCATCACACACACACCTTTGTTGTTTGCATACTCTTAATGCACTTCGCGGTTGTACATTTTTGCTTTATTGATTCATCGCTCACCACCAAAATATATATTGTTTATAGTAAAAGTTGATTTTTAAAAACCCAACGCTTTTAATTAAACAATCGAACATCAATGCTTTTACCCTATGGTTAAAAGATTTCGGCAGCGGAAGCCCACGGTAATGTCATCATAACAGTCAGCTGATTTTTTTCCTATTATGTTGGTAGTTTTTATTTTGAATTAAAAACTTTACCAATTATGTTTGGAAAAGTTTTTTCTCGTTAGTTTCTTAGTTTTTTTAGTAATAGTGTTATTCACATTTTGTTTATTATTAATTCAATTGTATCCTTTCATATTTTACTAAATTTTCTACAATGCATTATGTTCAAAAGTATTTGGAAAAATATCAATTAATTAAAACGACCAATAATAAAATGAGTAATGGAAGTAACACAAATATATATCTTTACTGTAATTATTATAGTTTTTATTCTCAAAAGGTATGTATATTATATTTTTATATTTTTTGTTTTTAAAAGTCAATTCAAATGTGTTTTATTTTAGGTTTTAATGACTTTATATGAAAAAAACGTTGACTTTGAACCGTTAATCGTGGACATTACGAAAGGCGAACAATATTCACCTTGGTTTTTAGAACTCAATCCTCGAGGCGAAGTACCAGTCCTTAAAGTTCGTAATGAAGTTATTCCGGACTCTACAAGAATTATTGATTACCTGGAATACCATTTAGATCAAGGTGACCACACATTTACAACTTTCTTTGAAATATGCATCAACATAATTAAAGCATTTAATTTATTTTTGTAGAACTTACTCCGATTATAAATGTGTCACGTGATAGTAAAGTTATTAAAAACATTAATCGTTTCCGAGACTTGTTGGAGGCATTGCCAGCTGGTGTTATAACTGTGGGTTCATTTTTCCATCCTCACTTATGTGGAACACCAAAATTGCCATTTGTATTCCCAGTTAGAGAAGTACTTAAAAGTAAGTATGACAATTAAAACTTGTTTACTGTGTATATCCACAAACATGTCACATTTTACTTTATCATTAGGTGGTGATTTGGTTAGTTCCAAAAACCTAAGAAAGCTGGCCGAAGAAAATCCTAAAGCTAAAGGAATTTTACTATATAAAGCTGAGATTCAAGATAGAAAACACGAGATATTAACAAATGAAGAAGAATATCTAAAAGTTTTAAATATAGTTGATGCTGTGCTGACTCAAGTAGAAGACCAATTAAAAGAACAAAGTGAAGGTATCTGTTACTCTGTATTTTTTTATAACCCAATTCAAAATTGTACTGTCTATTTTTTTTCATAAAAATGTTCATTAATTACAGATAGTTGGTTATGTTGTGACAAGTTTAGCATAGCCGATGTTAATTTGGCAATTATCCTGCAGCGCTTGTGGGAACTTGGGTTAGAGGAAAGATTTTGGGCAGATGGAAAACGGCCTCATATTGAGAACTACTTTAACAGAGTAAAACTTCGAGAGTCATTTGTTAAAACCATTCCAAATCTGGCTGTTCACATTAAGTTGATTTTCACATCCCAGCCTCCAGCGTATGTCGGAGCGGCTGGTGCTGTATCTGTTGGAGTTGTCCTGGCCCTCGCTTATATGTTAAAGAAACTTATTTAGAATTTTGTATTTGATTTATCACTTGACTGAGTGGTAAAACATAACCTATAAAATCTCACATATTTCATGAATATGGAGGTCTAGGTTGTGACTTAAAGATTTATGATAATGGTGCTTTCTTATATTACAGTAAACTTTTAATCTTTTGTTTAGATAGGAGATATGAAACACCTTATCATGTTTTCTTTGTTGTTTCAGTTTCAGTATTATCACAATGATTAAATCGAATATAACAGTATTACATAGGATATAGTCTGAATATATATATCTACATTCAGTATTAGGATTTTCAATCTATGAAATTAAAATGCAATGTTAATGAGTTTTTCCTTTTTAATGCAAATGTATTTAGAATATTATTTCCTTTATTGCAATTAAAGAGAAATAAATTAAATCCTATTCAACATTGTTTCATTTCAATTGTATGCATGTATGAATTGTCACAAAGCTTTATCTTAATTTCTTATTCATGATTTGTCAATAGATCTTGTGGTTTATGGGGAAAGATGTAAACTCAGATAAATTGATAGAAATTTATTATTTAAAGCACCTTCCCTTATCAATAACAATTTAAAATAAAATCAACAAATTATAAAATAGTTAAGAAGTAATATTAATAATTTAGCGTCCAAAAAACAAAACATTCAGTAAAAACCCATAGTACAGCCAAAGCCCGTGTAAAAAAACAACTATTACATTTTGTACAATATAGTTGATAAAACTTATATTCAAATTATTCAACCAAAAGTTAAATAAATAACCTTAACAATTATGTTACCTTAAATATGGAAAATTCATCTAACTTCTTCAGTAGGAGCTTCCATGGTGTCTTGTTTGGTGTTTATAGGCATTCCCATGAAATGTTTGCCATTAGTTGAATTATTCTTTTTTCTGTTGGGTGTTAATGCCACAGGTTTCCCATTGTTATATTTAAATATGCCTTGACCCGGCAAGTTTGGTAAGACATTTGGTATAGTGTACCAGACTCTATATGTAACAAACCATGTCAATATTGCTATAACACCACTTATAAATTTTTCTATCATAATATGGTAATATAAAATTGTAGAAACCAACATAACATCCCATAACAACTGCAGTATTGCTATACAAATCAGTAATGCTCTCACATATGGAGTTACTATTTCATAGGATTCTTTTAGAATATTCAATTCTTCTGTACTGATGTTTTTAAGAGGGTTAACACTGATTGATTTATCATTGAGGCTTCTGGTATAATTTTCATCTCTTATGTTGTCCTTAATTTTTTCCCAGCCATTTATTGCTTTGGCCTCTTCTATCATAACTAAACTTGAGTATATAAGAATAAAACAATGCCCAGATATGTCAAATCCATTCCAGAAATGACCATTTTTTAGGCAAGCTGATTTTGTATCAAATGATCTTGCATTGCAGCGACCATATTTTGTTTCTATAACATTAAATATTGTTGTCCATGCATACCAACAAAATGTTGCAATGGCCAGTCTTGACAAATGTGCAGTAAAGATAAGTCTTCTTTTCCCACAGCAGGTAGTAAACGATGTCAATAAAACATATGGTACAGTTAAAAATAAGGTCCAAAACCAACCAATCTTTACAAAATATTGATTGAAGACATTATCAGTTCTAGAAAAGTATGTTTTGGGAAAGGTCAGTACATCAGCTACCAAAGATAACAAAAAGAGAGCACCTAAATAAATAGCTATTTTTAAATTAGTGTCATAGAATAGCACTTTCTTGCAAATGTGCACGATCATCAAGCTCAGTACTTCTAAAATAGATGAAGCTTCGCGAATGGGCTTAGTTCCTTTATAATCTTGTGGCGACTCATTTTGAAACTTAAAATTCATTCGAGAGTTTTTTACATTAGCCGCTCTACTAGTCATGGTTTGTAAATTCACATTTATCTTTTCTACTATATATTCGACATAGACACAACTAAAAATATACGAAGTCTCAATTAACTCGAGGTAAATTTTGACACTTTTTATTACGTGTGACAATGACAATTGATTTGACAATGACCATTGACAATAAACGAAATAGAGTCATTGAATGAAAAGGACTCAAAACATCTCTTTAACCGGGACAAGGTATAAGACATGGGATTTTGTGTTTAGCTATGTTTAAATATTTAATTTTCGCCACTTTAGCGTCGACGGTAATAGTGGTAAGGCTATGAGCTAATAATAGATGTCAGAACGATGCGTTTGTATTTTTCAAACAGACATATTCATTTATAAATATCAATGAAAAGAAAATAGAGAGAATCGTTATTGCATAGGAGGTGTTATCCGTTGAGTCTTTCGAGATCCGTATACTTTGTAACGAACTTCCTTCCATCCATCCAAATAGAATTTATAATATTAGTATGCAGTGAACAATGATGTGAATGTAAAATTTCATATGTATTTTGTAAGTGGTAACATTTAGAAGACGCTCGTACGATCCCATAGAATCGTAGTCTATTTTACCTTTTCCCTCCATTCCATTTTTCGTGTCAGCGATATTTGTATTTAGCTTGTTTACGTCGCGCATTTGGTTATCTAAAACTCGCTAAGTATAAAGGACAATTCACGATGAGAAAAGTTTCAAAAAATCGTACCGATGATGATATAATATCGTCAACAAATGGTTCTGGATCTGTGCATAATGAAGAAAATCAAGATTTAGAGCAATCGGTTGAAAATAATGAGAAAGAATCTGTTTCGCGCAATGATGATAAAAGTGCCAATGACGCTTCCAATGAAGAGAAAAAGCCTGATAGTTCTAAAAAAGGGAAATCAAAAAAAACCAAGTCCAAAAAAAAGAAAGCTATTAAAACAAAAAAAGCGGAAGAGGATGAAGAAGAGTATGAGGTTTGCAATTTTATTGACTATCATCTAATTATTGTTTTTTTTTGCAGAATGGAATATCAAAAAACTAAATTTGATCCCAGCATTTGATGGCTTTTTTAAACCTAAGTAGGATTTCACTCTATGTGGTTCATCTAGTATAAATAGTTCTTGATACTAGTGTTGCCAATGAAAATTTCTACCTGGCCATGTATGTTGTGTAAAGAAGCCTTGTTTGTACAGAAAAATATCAATAGTGGGCCATAGCACTACATAACATTAAAAAAAAAAGAAATGCGCATTGGCAAAGTGTCTCTTATTTTAACGTTTTAACACCATTGAAATATGTTAAAATATTTCCTCTTTTTTTCATAAAAACTATAATGTAATTTAAGCAGTCTACGACCACAATACTAAGCTATACAAGCTATACAGCTGTTGTATCTGCTGTAGCTTAGTGTTGTGGTTGTAGACCATAGATTTTGAAATTTATGGGCAATGCCATAGAACGTGGCAATTGCCGCAACATGTATTTCTGCTTGGTACCTCTAGAGAGGTTTAAGAAAACATAATACCATGATATAATCCTCTTTTTTTTTTCAGAAAATTAAGAAATTATGAGTTTAGTTGGACTTGTGGCCTTAAATTACAAAATATTGTATGAGTCATGAAATATATATACCTATGATAATTGCAGGTAGAAGAGGTGATTGACTCTAAAAGGATTAGAGGGAAGTTGCACTATCTTATCAGGTGGAAGGGATATTCTGCTGATAATGATACATGGGAGCCAGAAAACACTCTTTCTTGCCCTGAGTTAATTAACAAGTTCAATGAAGAAGTATGTATCAAAAATAAAATACATTTGTACATATGACAAAGTTTGATATACAGCAGCTTTATGATTTATAAGATACCATAAAATGGTAATGGTACAATCTAAATGAATATTTTTTTTTGATCATGAAGAAACATATCATTTTAATATTATAAATGTGAAATGTACAATAAATGTTAAATGTCTTATTAATTCAGTAGGTAGCATAGTCTTCATAATTTCTTTTTTAATGCTATTTTTGTTTAAGGGAAACTTAAAAACTATATTGGTACCTGGCCCACTATCAGTTAAGACAAGTTAATTATCTCATTCTTGGACAGACAAAATTAACAACAATATTACAATACTTGTGCTGTGTGCTTGATTGTCTTTTCTTAATACCTTATAGAAAGAAAATTCAAAGGATGAAGAAGCTAAAACTCTCCGTGGAAGAAAAGGTCTTAAGCGTAAATCAAACAACAAGCAAAAAACATCACCAAAGAAAACAAAAAAAAAACAATGGGACAGTGAAGAAGCTGATGAAGAGGCAGAATATGAGGTATGTTTTGTTTTAGAAAAGTTGGAAAGGATCAAATTGCTACTTGAATTCGTCAAAACTGCAAAATGAAATTTATAATAGGCACCTGCATTGCATATACATGGCATATTTTTTATTGATATGAAACAAGATATCTTCGCTACCTATGTGTCCTCTATGAATTCATCCCCTTCCCATCCCTTTGTTATAAAAAAGGTTGGAAAGGGGCGAGAGAATAAAATTAGGCCTCTGGCATGCACAGTCATCAGGTATAATGCAGGACTTATTCCATTTAATGAATGTCTTTGTGGTAGTTTTCCAGAGGAGATTGTTATAATATAACAAACATGTTATAATTTATATGATTTCATTTTTTAGGTTGAACGTATTTTGGAAGTTCACCATAAAAAATCTGGTGAAAGGGATTTCCTTATACACTGGAAGGGATGGGCCAGTAAATTTGATTCGTGGGAACCTGAAAGCAACCTAAATTGTCCTGAATTAATCAAGAAATTTATGACAAAAGTATGTATATTACTTGTGTTTGTAATATTTTATGTTTTTACATGACATTACATGACTTTTAAATACTGCTTAATACTTTATTCTAGGTCATATATTAAAATTTTGATATATGGTATGCAAAAGCGAAATATTATGATTAAAATATATGTTATTCATTAGGTGGATAAGGCTCGTTCATCAGAATCTCGTAGCTTGAGAGTGGCGCCGGAGACAACCAACCGGTTCACTCTACAAGCTCCAAGCTCCGGTCGCCGTTTGAGCAAAAGAAAGAATCAACGCCAGCGGTAAATGTACACATTTATATGTACTACTAACACCATGTGGATTGTTCTTCAGCTAGCATTATTAGGACAAAAAAATATCATTTGCATATAAATGTTCATCTACTTTTGTTTCAGGGTTCGTTATGATAATGCTGAGTAAACTTTTACTGATTCTACACAAAGTTGTAGCAGATTTTTTTATCTATAAATATATTTAGTTTATATTTTTAGTACTTGTGTGCTATATATTGTAAGATTTCTAAAGAATATAACAATGTTTGTAAGAGTAACTTTATGACATGGTTTACTTTAGGATAAAATTACTAAAATAATATGCAATTATTGTTAATCCTTCATTGTATAATCAATATGAGAGTAGAACTTGATGTGCGGTTGAGCAATTGTACCAACTGTATTTACCTTGTTATTTTACCATCTGTGTTTAAAGTGGTTTTTTTGTTATTTTGTTGTTCGTCAAATTTGAGTCATACTGTGAAGAAGCAATATGTTGTATCGTTTTCTGTGTTCTGCGCACCGACTCGCGCGATGTTCCGATATGTTAAAATAGTCTTATCACATTCAGAAATTGCGAAAGTAAATTTTAAATAAATAAAATATAACATAACTAAAATTCAACCTTGTTTGCGCATGCTTTTAATTTATGTTCGTGGTATGTTTTGTATATAATTTTATGCGTGGTTCATACATAACCAGTACAGTTAGACAGTTGCGACCAGCCATAGATTGTTTGGACTCACTCGTGCCAGTTAGCGTTCACACTGTGCCAGCTGATTGCCGGTCCAGTTATTGAGCGTTACTGGCCAACTGTGTGACCAAATGCAAACCGTGCAATAACGCTAGTTACATTGTTCGTAATAAATATATAGTATGAATGTTGTAAAAATACATTTGTATGTAGCTAAACCATTATTGAATGTTTATACATTTATAGTTTCTTTTCACTGCAAAAATAAATTTTTGTTTGATAAAAAACTAATGTTATATTTTAAAATAATTAAGTAATCGATGTAAAAGACAATTTTTTAATAGAAGCTTCATACAAATTGAATTTATAAAACTATTTTGTTAACAAATATTTCTTTGTCCTTAATATGATGAAAGTAATGAGAAGAAAATTATTTACAAGTAGATTATCATCATTAGGTATTGTAAAGGGAATGGAGATGTAGTTTTATAAGAGCACTAAACTTAGTAGTTTGTATTGCTTCACTGTAAGTACAGATAGATTAAGGGTTATATGTAAATTTTCATATTCATGAAGTTTAAGAAAAGATTAAAATTAAAATCCCTACTCTACGTTAAATTTCTGTTAGATGTAAAAGTAAAGTTTTGATTAAACTATATACATTATGGGTGTACATTTTTTATCCTGGTTTTCCTTTGGCTACAATACTAGTTTGTTGGAAATACTTCTGATCAATAAAATGTTGATACTACTAGCACATATCTCACTGACCAACCTATTATCGATATAATCTGTCGCTCATCACTATTTAAAAGAATATGAGAAAAGCATACGATTTTATAATTTGTGTTAGGGCAAGAAAACAACATAATTGGATCGGATATATTCTTATTGTGGATAGCTTTGTTTAAAGTTAAATGTAATAATATAAATAGTTTAATAGTCAATACATG